AAAATTGCTGAGAGTAGATATTAAGCATTCTCACCATTAAAAGATGATATGTGAAGTAAAGCATATATTAAATGGCTTGACTTAGCCATATATATATATATCACACCAAAATATATATGATTTTACTCATCAATTAAAAATGACACTGAAACACTAATTCACAAGCAGCCTGTAACTATTGTTCTGTGTACAGCCCAAGGGCTGACTTGGCTGTGTTAAAAGAACTGCTTTAAAAGACATCCCCCCGGTCCGTCTCTGCCCTGCTTATTTGAGCCGTATCAGCATCATTATCTGTAATCTCGCATTTGTGCACCCACTAAGTGAAAGGTTACAGTGATCTGCAGTAGGTGAATTCTCTGTTAAACTGAAATCTTCATTTTAAACATTCTAAATTCCAAAAGGGTCAAACAGCAAACATTTGATGTTTTGGGGATTATGGCATTACTCAATATTAGTGTATTTGACCCTTCTGAGCACCTTATTTTCTGTCATTTTTTCTTCTTTCTCTTGAGGTTCTGCAGTTTTACACTGTGTTAATTTAAACTGGGTCTAATCCAAAGTAGGCTCTGCAGCAATAAAGTCTATTTTACTGAAGATTTCCATGTTCATCTCTTCCAGATTATGCGAAGATGATAAACTCTGCTAAAAGAGGCTCAGAAAACAATTTTCCAAAATCATTTGAATGCTAGCCTTGTTTTTAAATAAGAGCATAAGGATGTAATAAAAATGTGACCATGTCTACAATTTAGGTCAAAAAGAAGTGTTGTGGCCTTCCCACTAAATCAATGTAACTCATATTTGAAGACCTCCAATTTACAAGGCAAAACCTGTAAGCATGTATTGTTTCTGGAGTTCCCATCTTTGGGGATAGCATGGTCCTTAGATTTAACAGAGGGTGAAGATGTAGGGCTAGGCATCTTGTCTTCAGTCTTTCTGCCACGTGGACAGGCATTGGGTGTCTTTGTCCTGATGAATCTTTCAGTGCCAGTGGATTCCTACCGCTTTTGGACATGTTTGGAATACAAGACTTTTCCATCCATCCATGCTTCCATTTATCTGAGAACTGCTCAGCCATTTCCTCTTGAAGGCCTTAGTATGTTCCATGTGGTGAATGCAGGATGAGTCGGACATAGGTCTCTTCTGTTCCAAGAAAGGGGGCTGGGTGATATTCAATCTAATGGAAATCATTTTCCATTTTGTCCATACTACTTAATATCTTTTCTACCTCTTCAGCCAACTCTAAAACCAATGAATTCTCCTATATCTTGAGCTTTTAGGAAACACTAAACGGATTAACTTTAATCTGTTTATGCTTCTTTCCCCATCCTGTGTCATCTTACTGGAAATGAAAGCAGGACTTAAAGTCTTCAATATAAAGAAAAGGCAATGGAGATAGAGAAAAAGGTGTTAATATAACAAAATAGTATTCCAGACACACAATTAAGGTGCAAGTGTTCTCCAATCAGTTATACGCAGTTCATATACAGCAACTGACGATCAAGACTCATACCATGCAAGGAGACAATATTCAGAGTTAACCAGTACTGTAACTTCTTATCTTGCTGGATGGGGGGTGGACCCAGTGAAATCTGGCCTAATGAAAACTTTTTAACAGCTATTGTCATCTTCTGAGAATAGTGTGAGCCAAACCACTTAAACTTAGAATCTGGTGACTGGAAATTGTAGTTTCCCTCCAAACCCTATGTACTTCGGTCTACAATGTAGTCACACTCTCTGGAAGATTTTCCTATCAAAAATAAAAACTTTAAGGAAGTGATGCCAGCTTTATAGGAACCACTCCATTTCAACCATACTTTTTCCCCACCACAGGTAGGCACTCCTGCCGCTTCACCATCTACTGGAAAGACTTATCCTGTGGAATTTGACTTACCAGAATAAGAACTTTTTTCTAGGTTGTGAAGAAGCTACTGACTTTAAAATACACATTCCAACACTGCAATGAGTAAAAGCATTGTTGCTAAAAAGCAATACTCATTTGACATCACAGAACCAGAATTAAGCAAAAAATGATAGATAACATTGGGATATTATTTATTCACCTCTCACAAACAATGGCATCTAGGCCCAGAAGGACAAATACACGCTCCCTATTATCTTAGAGGACAAACAGCAAACAGCAACAGGTGTGTATTTATAATTTTTTATATCACAAACTACACTTCTGGTCTCTGGTCCAGCATGTGAAGAACTTAGAAAATGACACTCCCATTCTCAAAACAAAAAGGAAAGAAGGCTTTAAAATTCAAAACAACAACTCTTTTTGTGTCCATCAGAGCTCATTTGAGAGGAACTTCAATGCTGGACTCAAGGATCTGGCTTACCACAATCGTAAGAGTATGGGAAGTGAGTCAACAAAATCTATGTAAGGAACAAAATAGTGGAGATGGCAAAGGTTAGTAATGGACTACATTTTCAGGAAGCACAGAATATAAAAACATGTAATATTCAAGGTCAAATGTCATACAAATGATTGTATCTGGGGCCAAAGAAAGATAACAGACAAAAAGCACGGCATGAGTGGCACCAAGAATAGAGTTGAAGGGAAGCCAAGAAACGGTGTTGTCATGTGGCTTTTTGGTGGATAGGGCTGATGTAAGGAATGGAGATGGGACATGTCATTCTACACAGTGGCCTATAAATAATTTAAGGAGAAGGCATAGAGAGAGAAGTTATTTTAAGGCACACAGTATTTGTCAAAGAATTGGTACCTAGAATATGTTAAAAACTCCTTGTCATGAAGTAAAACAACCTGGTGGGGAAAAGCAGGAGGGATATGAACAGGAAAATTAAAGAAAAGGAAATCAATATTAGTATAATCAAAGAAATGCGAAGTTAAACAGCAAAATAAAATGTACAATAAAAATTTAAAATAATAGTAAACTATCATTACATGGTACTCCTTGACCCCAAACACGTGTAAATAAACATGTTCTAGTGATTAAACTGGATATACATATGACAACTTTGAGAAGTGTTAAAAACTTTGAGGAAGGGTAAAAACACATAGAAAAAAAGTTTTAAAATACCACTTAGGCAAAGTTTTGAAATGTGCCCACAATACTATGTAATAATTTTTGATACAATTACATATAATAAAATATTAAAACAACAAATTCCACACCAATTCTAGGTTGCCCTTGTGCAGAGAGAAGAGCAAACTGAATTGCTGGGAGAATGGTGTTCCACAGTAGGCTATGTTTTCTTTGTTACAAAGAATTAGACTTAAGGTAAAATGGCAATATATGAAGGTGTTGAAATACAGCTAGTGATGGTACCATTTTCAAAATGAAATATTTCATCAATTTTTTAAAATGTTAGAGACAAAAACCATATGGAATAGTAACATTGAATTCCTATGTTCTGGATAATTGGGGAAAGCCACTTGTTTGGATCTGGAAGGGAGACATCTGTCCTTCCTCAGTCTGGATCGTATTCTCTTTTCCTAGACTTTTTTCTGTGTCTAATGAAGGTCTTGACCCATACCTTATAATTTAAATGTTTACTTCCATACATCAGAAAATTCTTGGTTTCTGTACTTTAAATATTCAAAGTTCATATGGTAAATTTAGGATTTTGATGAGGTTGTTTTTAACCAGCTATTTTTATAAATAGATTCTTAAAAAATACTAAGTGTACAAATCTGCTTTATCTTTTAGTTTTCAATCTTGTGGTGAGAGATGGATTTTTATTCCTTAACTCTGTGGAGAAAAATACCTCTTAGTTTGGGTAAGATCTGAAAAATGGCTCATTCACTGTGTGAAAATGGTACACTGCTTGATATTTCACTTCTATAGTTACTTAAAATCTAATTCCTATTGATCAGCAGCATTCTAGGATACAAGTACGGTATTAGTTCACCATAGAGCCACACTGACTACACATGAACCCTGAGAGTCAGTGGCCTGGAGTCTTATGAAAGAGGTACCATTCTTCCCTGACTTAATACATCACCTTGCAGAAATTAGGTTGTAGCCAAGAGTAGATGTAGTCTGGACGCCTCTGGGCGTCCTAGAGGTGACTGCACACGTGGCCCCTGAAACCTCCCCGTTGGCGACCCAGATTCTCCACAACTCCAAATGAAGGTCACAGTCGAGTACAACCGCGGGGATCTGTGAAACATCTTAGCCTGGGAGTGGATCCTGGAACAGCTCTCGGGCCTCCCCGACTCCCAGGAAGGGACGATCCCCAAGCTGGAGTCTGGCATGGACGAGCTCCCGGACAGAGTAAGTGACCATACTCGGGCTTCCAGGGTTGAAGTGCTGCTGGTGGATTGTTACAAACCCACTGAGCCCTTCACCTCTGCCTGCTGGACAAATACAAGTATGCAGAAGCTGAGCATATCCCAGGAGAAGTAAGGGTCCCTGCCCCAGCTGAATGATGGCCCCCATGGGACAATCACCTCCTAGCAACAGCAATAAGAGGGACCCTGCAGCCAGGCCTGGCACATGAACAGGGCTCCCCATGTCCCTGGCCTAGTCTTTTCCCTTGCCTCCACAGTTTTCAGTTATAAGGGTT